CCCCACCCCGGTGCCGCCTGCTTCCCTCAGGACCCGCGAGTCCCCACGGAGCTGGGCACCCCCTGTGGTGGGGCAGACAGCGCGGAGCTGGGCAGACGGCTGGTCCCGCGTGGGGCCGTCCTGCGCGCATCGCTAGCCCCCCGGATGAGGAGAAGCCGCATTTTCCCTGCCCGAGTGGAAACAGGAGCAGATGATTTACAGCCGGGTTGTAATTCCTCCGGAAGAGGGCTGAATGTGGAGAGGAACCCCCAGCCGCTGAGCAGAGCTGTGGCACCCCCACTCCGCCGGAGTCGGAAGATTAGAAAGCAGAAATAAAAGGTGACCTTCTGTTAAATTGATGCTTGCGCTTGTGGCCGTAAACCATTCTGCAGCTGACAATGACTTTTCGGGCAAAGGACTCCAGCAAGGGATTTTTAATGGGCACATGTTGGGGGAGCCGAGCTGAGGGTTAAGTGTCAGAAGGATGCTGGCAACAATAATTGCGCGGGCCAAGTCAGGTCGCAGCCGGCCCGGCAAAGGTGACTGTTTTGAGCGCATCCGTGGGCTCCAGAGGGCTGCTTGGCCCTCTCGTGGCTTGGTTTTTGGGGCTGGGGGGCCCTCAGGGGCTTGGTTTTTGGGGCTGGGGGGCCCTCAGAGTTCCCTCCACTCCTTCCAATGCTCTTGTTCTTGCTGTCCAAAGTTGCCAGCTGTAACTCCTCAAAAACCGTCTTCCCTACAAGCCCCTTACCTGGGTGGGAGGTACAGAAATAATATTCCATCAGGGGGACTTCTGGCCGGGCTCAAAGTGGGCTCGGGAATATCAGTGGGTGTTTGAGATCGGTGACGGAAGGGGGTCCTCCAGGGGGCGGGGCTTGGAAACTAGGCCCTACCCCCAGCAGAACTTCACGCCACTGGGGGGGTCCCCCCTGCAGTAGCCCCTAACCCAAAGGGCAAGCAACTGAATGACACTGGGGGAGACGAACCCTTCCCGTCCTCCGGTACTTTCCCAGCTCCCCTTTTCAGCTTGGCTCTCCCCACACGGGATCAGCTGCTCCCGCTGCCAGCAGCCAGCAGGGCCGGCGCCCGGCAGAGAGGGGTCCTGCGGTCCGAAGAAATCGGGAGTGAGCAGTGAGGCAGCCAAGTCCACTGGCGACCACAAATGATTTAGGGGGTTAAAATAAAGCGTTCCGGAAGGAACGGTCCAGAGCACAGGAACGGGCGCCAAAATGGCCAGAATGTGCAGCACAAGCAAGCGCAAAGCAGTGTCTCTCCCAGGAAAACGCTCCAGCTTTGTCCGTGCGCTGGCTGGCCCGGATCGTGGAGCTTCAGTGGCTTTTTGCTGGCTTGGCAAAAGCGTCCGGCTGCTGTCGGAAAGGTAAACTCCGCACGGGGCGCTTTAGGAAAGAAATCGGAAATTAAGCTGCCGGAGTCACATTCCCCTTATCCAGTGCTTTTTTTGTCATAGAACGCACCGGAACGGAGTTCCGGCACCTTTTTTCGACAGATTTTCCAAGTTTTAAAAGTAACTTTTGGAAAGTTGATGTTTGGTCCACATGGGTTTGAATCGCCCTGTCGAGCATTAGTAGGCCGGCGGCAAAATCATTCAGACGGTGCATGCGGGCTGCTTGTGTGTCAAGTCCGATGCGTGTGTATGTCGTCCGCGCTGGGTATGATGGCACTGCTCGCTTTGTGATTGGTCGTGTGGTCGCGTGCTGGGTGCTTACTGTGGGCGGTGACCATTTTGTTTCATTACACAACTGACGTGTGTGAGTGTGTCTACAGTGATTGGCTACATGCGAAAGGTAAATAATTTCATGAGTTCCGGCACCTTTTTTCTTGCAAAACAAGCACTGCCCTTATCCAGATCTGTGGGGTGACCACGGTTAGAATATGGCGAGTCCTTCTGGTCACTGCACTGCAAGCTCCTTGGGGCAGACACCTGCCCGTCCACTCCCTTCTTTCAGGAGAGGTTTTCCCGTAGCATCGTGAGGAATGGGATGCAGCCGCTGCCTCGGCCCCTGCGGTTATTGAATCGAAGGAAATCCAAACACAGTTTGAAGTCTCGTAATGGCCACTCAATTTCCAGTTGAATTTGGGGGTTCTGGGGTGGTGGTTAGTGGTGTTCCGGAGCATTTCTGAACTGTGTTAGGGGAACAAGCCCTCACAGCGTAGTGGTAACAGGATTCCCTCTGTTTCTTCTGTGGATTCGTTAACTAAAGACTCTGTGGATTCGTTAACTAAAGACTCTGCTGATATACACTGGGGTCATTAGTAGCATGTGTGAATAGCCGCCTTTTCCCAGCAGCGGCAGTTTATTGAATCTTGCGGGTCTCGGTGATGGAGAGAGACCGTGCAATTCACATAATGGAGTTTAACGACTTTATTTCCCTACGTGCCTGAGGAGATATCAAAGCTGACAGCAACTTATTAGCTTATTTCAGGTTTGGACAGATCTCATTCTGACAGTTCCACTGTGCCCTGTAAAATACTTCTGAGGGGCATTTTCGGGACAGAATTAATAATCTAGAGCCAGTGTGGTGTGGTGCTTGGAGTAGGGACTTGGGAAATCTGGATTCAGGCCTCCAGCTGGCCAGGAAACTCCCTGGCTGATGTAGGGCCGATCAGTCACGGCCTCGCCTTCCTCACAGGGTTGTGAGGATAGAAAGGTGTGGGAGAGAAATCGGCAAGCCCCCTCAGGTTCCTTGCAAGAGAGAAAAGAGTGGGTTATAAAAACAGGGTAATAATAACATTTATTATTATTATTAATCAGAGCCAGCAAGATGGCTGCCCTTTTCCCATACTCTGGGGACAGGCTTGTGTTGTTTAGGATCACAACCATTTCTTTGAGCTTTAACCTGCATTTTTATAGGATTTTGCCAGGTGCTGGGATTTTATCATTTTCTTTGATTTTTCTTGTGGGATTCAAAAGCACAGTGCAATCCTGCAGCCATCCAAAAATATCCCAGGCAAGCTGTATTTCACCCATAGCCCGAACTTTTGCACTTCAGGAGAGAAGTCTGTCGTTATACAAATCTTTTTTTGGGAAAATCCTTTTTAATAATTCTGTCCTCTTCTTTCTCTCTTCCTTCTGCTGCTCTCCTAGTGTTCATCATGGGATTTGGGCTTTTGGTCTATCCTTTTGGCCTCAGCTCCGCCACCGTGAGGCAATACTGTGAAGATTCGAGCATCTACTATTCAGGAGACTGCCAGATCGGATGGGGGTACATGCTAGCGATTGTTGGCGTCATGTTGTCTGTCTTTCTGCCGTTCTTTGCAAAATATGCACCGAAAGAGCATGCCTCTCCCACCCCAATACCCACAATTTTATAGCATTTATCCGTATCTAACCAGTGCTCCCGTCTGGAATCTGCAGACCACAAAATCTCGGAACATGTCCGTTTCGCTTTGCTGCTTAAAGAGACGAGAACAAGGGAGGATTCCTGAGTTTGCTACAAAAGACCCAAAGTGCTTTGATGAGTCTTCCATATATGTGGGAAAAAAAAAATAGATCTGCGCTAAGGTTGCTGAGCAGCAGAAAACATGCTGCCTGTAAACATCCCTATGGGTGGATATCTCGAAAAAGTAGAAGAATGAAATCCGGCTTTTTCCTCAAAATCTCTCTACCTCCCAGTTTCTTTTCATGTTCCAAAATCTTTTTAAAGCCTCAATTCATGTTTGTATCTTGTTAGAATACCCGAACTTTTCTGAGCCTCGCTGTTTTCAGCGCAGTTGTGCAATTTTGTGAGTTACGATCTTGCGTACGCAAAGGCAAAGACGTATCACGAAAAAGGGGGTGTCAGGAAATCCATGCATTCCGATATTGAAAGTGTAAAGGGACGCTTATCTTTTTACAGTCAAAAAATAGAGTTCCCTGTACTGGCTAGTACGATTCATCTTTAGTTAAGGGGGCATTTCAGTCTCCAAAAGCAGAGAGAGGCTCAAAGTTTTTTCAGCCTGCTCTTGCACCCCATTAAGAGTCAATTTGTACAAATGGGAGATTATTTCCAAATCTATTTGTAGCTTCTAATAAGGTGTTCAGGTACAAAAACGAGTGCAAGGTGCCCATTACTTTAATAGTTGTGCAGAAGAGGGTGTTTCATGCCCAGCTATACCAGCTAAAAATCCTTTCTCTTCATAGCTGCGAAAGGGTCCACCAGCCTTTCGCTGCCCCTCAAGTCCTGGCTAAATGAAACCTTCAGAATCAGATATGGTTTATCCCTGAATTGCCAGTTGCTGGGGTTACTAAGTGCAGCAGTCTTGTGAAAACACATCAAAATGCCTGTTTTGCACTTTTGTTTTAATAACACGGCATTGCGCCTTTGGTATTCAGACCTGGTGCGTGGACCCATTTAATTGCTTAGCATAACGGGTCACTGAGTCTACACCATGGATCGGGCCAAAATATAGGTTTTCCTGAGAATTATTTGGCCCAGAAAGACTGGGATGTACTGGACACCTCTCAGCCTCTCCCTAAAGGATGCCCCTCTTCTATGGCCCTCTTAAAAATACTAAAGACGGTTGCTTCCTTTCAAACCAGATAAATCGTTTAATTTGAGCCACTAAAAACAACGCAGGTTTCCTTATTTGGTTTTTCTCAGCAATAATGCTTAATTTTCGATGCTGTAGAAAAAGAAGTCTGTGACAGAGAGGTTGGGCTCAGTCGCCCTTCTGCTTGTTGGGATCACGGACCGTTTCTCATAGGTCTGTGGTTAAGCGCGATAATTTGGTCTGGGCGAGCAGGCGGCGCATCCTGCTCGGGAGCTTCTGGCACGGGACTGGCTGGGCCTGGCAGTACCTCAGCTGGGCTCCACTTCCATGCTTATCATGCACGTGGGCCGGGGCTAGAGGAGCTAAGCTGCTTATCTAAAAATACACATTCTGACGCGAAAAGTTGTCCAGAGGTCGCCAGGATGCTAGCCGGAAAGAGCGTGACGGGGACAGGCGTCGTTTTCATGCTGGGAATTGCCACGGCCCATCGGAACGTGCCCAGGAGCCCACGCTGCATGCGTGTCCGTGGATGTCTGGCTGGGGTTTGCTAATTCACTTTTTTAAATGGTGGTTTGGTTTCGGTTTTGGGGACACACTGCTCAGGTAAGGGGGCTTAGGATGCTCGCGGGCTCCTTCTCCCTTGCCCTGGCGACGGAGCCCAGCACGGGGAAGGAAAAAGCCGCCGTCGGAGAGCTGTTGGTTGCGGAGGGCGGGGACTGTGCTGGCACAACTTTTGCCTTAAAGACAGCGAAACCGCATCCACCCCCAAGCCGTTGGCAGCCGGCTCTCCTGGCCTTGGTGTCCTTTGCGCCAGCCCGTTCCTTGGCAGCACCACCATGCGCTGCCGGATGTGGGGTTGGTACCTGCTCCGGCCAGACAGGTGGGGGTGAGGCGGCATAGCGAGCTGCGCCCACGTCCCGCTTCCTGCTTTACGGAGGAACGGCGGTGCATTCCCGGCGCTGCCGGCGAAAGGGTGGGGGAGGCTTTGGGCAAGGCGTCCTAAGCGGCTCCCCTCCCTCTGTGCATCCACCTTCCTGCGGCCCCATCACCAGCTTCTCTTGCCCACAGCCACCTCCTCACTGTCACGGAAGCGTGCAGGCTTATCGGGCAGGCAAACCCCATGGCTCCTCCTGCCCCTGCTCCTCGCCCCCTCTGTGGGGCGGCCACACACAAGGAGGTGTGGTGGCAGAAAGGAGGAGCCGCTGCGGTGGGGTGGGCCCTCGGCAAGTGCCCGGGGAAGCCGGGCCTCAACGCCGGCCCTGCGTTCAGCTAAACTGCCTTAAATGACCTGCATCATCGTTTCTGCGGGGTGGTTTAGTCGCTTTCAAAGCGCATCCTGTCACCCGGACCACGCCTTTAAATGGATCGACCCCGGCCCGATTCTGTGGCCCTGCTAGGAATCTCGGGAGCCCTCCTGCACGCCCTGCCCAGGGGGAAGCGCCTCCATTGCCCCCAGCAATGGCTTCCCAGTGTAGAGAGAGAGCCGTAAAAGCAAGACTGGGCAGAGGCGGGTTTTGTGGCAGCCAAACGAGCCCAAGCAGTCAGGGTTGCAAACGGCTTTTGTCGCCACCTGAAAATCCAGGCTTCGCCAAGGCTCAGTCCAGGCGATGGCCCGCGTGTCCGAAACCCACTTCCAGCACCCTCACAGCTGAAGAGACGAGCTTGTGGATTTCTCGGCACCAGCCCGTGTGGCTCACAACATTGTGATGTTCTCGAGATGTGAATGTCTGGAGGAGTTTGGAAATGGTCTCTCAAACGTTTAATAAGGCAGGGAGTAGAAGGGAACCAACTCACAGGTAGAAAGAAAAACCTTAAGGACAAGAAATTGGGAGGGGAAAAACCAACACTTGCAGGCTTCTTTCCTAACCAACCTGTGCCTTTTAACAGCCGAACACATTTACGCAACGGGATCAGGAATGATCAAGTCAAAATGTTCATCAGCCAGTGAAAATGTTGTACAGTGTTGTAAATACTGTATTTCTGTGTGCGTGCGTGTGTGTGTGTGTTGTTTTCTAAGATACCAATTTTCTGTAATGTTTACAGCTGTGCACTTAAGTGTTTCACTAGAAGAGTGATTCGTTGGCATGCACAAGAAAATTTGTTTTTGCAAAAACTAGGAGTTATGTTAGCCCAAGTGGGTTCGGACGCATTCCACAATGTTTCTTCTCGGGTGGACAGAAACTAACAGGTTTGTTTTTTAAAGGATCTGTACAAAATACTGTTGTAACCAAAACTTATTTCATATTTAAAGCTGGTTTCTAGAACTCAAATGTAGTAATGATGTCAAAAAATATTATTGTTTTTCTCTTGAAGTATATTTTGGAAAAACATAGACAAATGCTTCCATTTTGTATTCTTGTGTATCATTTTGAATACCTTTTTTTAAAAAAAATGCAGTTTGTTAATGCTATTTTAAACATGGGGAACAATCATATTAAATTTGAGTGATAATCCTGACGGTTCAGGTAGAAAAACGTGGTGGATCTACTTTTTCCTTTCTTGTAAAGAGTGACATAATCCACTGGCGACCATCATTTTTGCCATGGGAATGTTGCTTCTTGACAGCAACTCTCTTCCCCCAACAAAGCCAGTCTTCTGTCAGAGGAAGGGGACCTTCTGTGTCCGGTAACTCACTGCCCTTGTGGAAGTTTCCAAAAGAGAGTAGACATTCAGCGAAACTGGGCAGGGACAGGAAGCACAAGTGCCTCATACTTCCTGCTCTTCCAGACATTAAAAGCCATGTGCAGAATGTCACATATGCATGTCCCCTTCCCCATCAGCCATTTCCAAGTGGCGTGCGGCAAGAGAGCCGGCTTACGAGCACGTAAGCCAGAAGCACCCCCGCTTGGCAGACTATTGTAGTGTCCAGATTAAGTGTTCTGGTCCCCTTGCCTTCTTGCAGCCATATATTGCTGACGCAGATCATTTTGCCACAGAGTGCTTAGGCAGAGCTGCAAAGCTGCACTTAAACATAATCATTGACTGAATTCAGAGTCTGCAGAGAAACATCACTGCAAAGACCCCCCTGGGAAATATGTTTACCAATACTTTTAGTACTGAGCACTGGGAAGCTACTTTCTTTCTTTTTGACAAGTTCATTCTGCAAGTTAAACGGTGCATAATAAGGAGTTCTTTCTTGCAAAACAGTAACAAATACTGGTTCAGGTTCACGTTTTATTCTAAATCTATATATAAATCTATATCGATATAATTTTATGTGTAACTAAAAGCTACATGACTGTGGTTCCTGTATTTTCGTCTAGGTGGGTCCTTTTCTTTAAGAATATTAACTCATTGCTCCCCTGTATTGGACTCGTTAAAGAAATACTTCTGATGATTTGAAATGTGGATTTTCTGATTTGCCAACACTGTGTTATAATAAAAGCGATTCATGCTGTCCAAAGAGTTTGCTTTCATTTTGCATCCACTCAGCAAACTTAAGTGTGCACAGAGGAGGAGGAAATTGTGCCAGATGAATCACGTGTGTGGCGTGGCGGTGGCTGGCAGGTCAGGATGGTTTTGGTGTGGTGAGTGTGAATATTCACTGGTGCCATCGAGGGGGAAGATGAGGGCACAGGCCAGGGCCCCCCACAAACCAAGGTGCTGGTGACAAGTGGCAGCGTTTGCCTTGTGTTCCTGTTTGTTTGTTTTTTAACTTTTCACAGCAGGTTTCCTGTGGAGGGAACTCCAGCCAAAGCCACCCTTTTATTGGCTCAGCATATCCCTTTCCCGTGGGCAGGCTTGTCTGTTGAAATTGCCCCAAGTGGCTTTTTCGCTGCAAAGAAAAAAAAGCCAGGCCCTCATTACATCTTCCCAGCAAGTAGGAAAACAACTACAGCCCAGGTGACCTCTAATTTCTCTGTCATCTCTCCGTGTGGCAGCCTTTGCTAAAAGCCATAAGTCAACCCTAATCTTGGATCTTATTTTGGCCTTCAGTCTCGTAACATATGATCTTGTTGAAAAAAATATTTAAAGCGCTGGTTGTCTTTCCCACACATTCAGGGGAACAGAGGACCTGTCTCTCTGCGATTGAATCTGATTGGCAGCTAAAGTAGATTTTGGAAGCATGTTTCATTAGAGCGAAATAGATGGTTAATACCTGAATCCTTTAAAAAGCTGCATACTCCGAGTAATTTCTTAAAACTGCACTGAAAAGGCAAATGGGTAATAGTTTTGAATTAATATCGATTTTATGTTCACTTCTAATCCATTTGAGATAGTAGTGAAATTAGTTACTTTTTTCTGCTACAATGGCTTGAACTAAGTGGAATACATTGGAAATGCAGGAAAGTGACCCTAAATTACATTCTCAGCAATAACCGACATAGGGAACTGACTTAGCAGTTTTATCAACAGAAAAAAACTACCAAGAATACATGGGGGAATGAACACTTCTGCAGTATCCTGTTATATGTTCCATTAGGTGCTGAAATTCCCCCGCTAGCCCTTTGTAATACCTCTTACCAAGCTTCCAGTTTTAGTAAGCCTAGCCTGGCACTTGCCTCAATCGATCTGCTACTGCCTCCATACCTTTACAATTTCAATTTCTAAAAAGTAAGGGCTATTGTATTGGTTAGGTTTTAAAATGTGATTGCTATATTTGAACGTGCCTTGGCTTCATTTAGTAGATATTCCCCAGCTTTACAAGGAAAAGCTAATGAACCGCCCAGATCTTTAAAAAAGATGGAAACAAACAAAAACAAATCCTGACGATAGTAACTTGGCGTACAACAAATGAGAACAACATAACTATTCTAGATAACTTTCCCCGCTTATGGATGTATGCAGGAGTTTGTCTCTTTTGCTTCACAGGTTTGAACTGTTACACAGATACTTAAGTTTCATTGCTTGATTTTACATATTTGCTCATCTCAACATCTGAAGCTTTGACAAAATCTTGGAAAGTCTGCTGTTCCGTAACGGTTGCTGGTCGTACAGACACACACTGGAAAACCTTCCTTTTGGTATCATAGTTTCCCACACACCTGTGAACCTGACCTCGGATTAATCTTGGTAAGTCCCAGTCCTGTTTCAAAAGAATGCAAAGTTATTCCTTTCGTTTTTCTTAGCCTGAAACCAATTCCCAAAAGAGCTATGCAGCAAGATTGGTCCTGAAGATGATTTCCCTGAAGGTGGAAAGAAATCTAAGTGATGCTTTTCCACTTCAGCTTTTGAATGTAAAAATGTTATTGAAACTCCATAGGTGTGAATAAAGAGGAATATTTCACACAATTCACTCTAAAAATATAAATTTATCCTGAGTGGGGGCTCTTATCTGGATATTGGGTTCAGTTGAAGGGTTTCTTAATCAGCCACTGAAGACTTTCAGTCAAAAACATTCAGCAAACAACAGTATCAATTTCAATTGATTGCCCTTGTAAATTGAGACTGAAAATGTGTAATAGATTTAATTATACGCTGTGTCTGTCAGTCAACATGTTTTGTATATTATTGTGAGTGTTGAAATCGGTTCTTTTTTGTCAATTCATCTTTGCTTGTACCTTTTGTTGTGAAGTTTTAACTATGTTTATGAATTATTTTAACAGCCAGCAGTAAGGAATTCAGGATTTTGGCCCCATGGGAGTAACTTGGCCCTGGCAGAAAATCTCCGACTGCCAGCTGCTCCCCCAGGTACACCCCCCTTCTCATGTCCCCCCCCCCCCCCCCAGAGGCTAAAGGGAGAGGGCCCCCTGCTGACAGCAGCCCCTGCACACACTGATTGTACAGATGCTTTCTACTTTGGCATAAATGTGGCTTCTTCAGCATGCTTAGCATATGCTTGAGGAGACATGAAAAGTACTCACAATTTCGTAGAAGACGCACGACACCGTCTCCTTCCCATCCCTCAAAAGGAAAGTCTTTGCACTGTACGGCCCGGGAGTGACTGCAGAATCCAGAGTGCCTAAGCGAGCAGAAAAGGCAATCCAGACCAAAACATGTTGCCCTAGGCAGCCCTCAGCCCTCGCCTTCTGGATGAGCTGGTGCTTCAGCTCCCACGGCCATGCTGGCCGGGGATTATGGGAGATGTAGCCCCAACACCTCTGGAAGGAGCTGACGTGGGGAATGCCATTCTGAGGTATTTTAGAAGCAAAATATCTTAAAGCTCTATTTGGTTGGCCGTGCAAGGAGACAGAGGGTGGGTACCCATCTTCTGAGTTAGCCAGGTGATGGCATGGAAGGCTCACAACCAAGAACCCCCCCGGGCTGTGGCCACCCGGTCTCCCTCCTCAGGCCTAGAGAGGAGGAGGAGGAGGAAGAGCAGCCGCTGCCACATGTTCATTCTGGCAAGCAGCGAGGGGCGATAGAGCAAGCAGGATCAGACCAAAGGTTGCCTTCAGACAATAGGGTTCCAGTGTGGGCTGCCATTGAACGACGGGTCATTGGGTTGCCTGAACCCAGCCATGCCAACAAGCCGTGGTTGGTTAACTGTGGACATCCTACAGTTCGGTGACAACCCATACTCAGCCCTTGAATGTGGTTATCATGCTATCCGAACTCAGCCACTGAGGGCATATCGTTTCCTCCAACAACAACAACGGCCTCCAGAGCTTGCACCGAACTTACCTTTTTATTTAGGGACTTATTTAACCAAGCAGCATCCAAGTCTGCCAATTCCCTTGCTTGTCAGTTGAGATAATTTTTATTTGGGTTAAGCAAGGTCGAGTAGTAGCAGTTCTACTTAGCATTTTTTAAATGGGAGGGAGCAAGAGTCCTTCAGAGGAAGTGATGGAAGGAGACGCAGAGAAAAGCTTTTGTTGAGGAAAACATCTTTTAAAGGATACCGTAAAAGGGTTTTGGGAGGAAAGACGGCCAGTGATAATGCGAAGGGATGGAGTGGGCAGAGAATTGGTTTGCTGAGGGACTTTTGGAGGGACAAGAGGGTTTTCTGGAAAGGGAGGAATAATACATTGTAAATTGGATCAGTGATCAGCTTTCTTGCCCCTTAGCACTGTTAGGCCCACCACTTTCGGGGTGTCAACCCTTTTTTGCCTGAGGTTTCCAAGAAGCTCTCGGGGAGCCATGGAATATTGGCAAGGACAAATACCAAAAACACCCACAGAAAATGGCCGTGGGGCCAGGGAAGGGAAGGGGGGCTGGCCTTTTGGGAAACCTCAGAAGACCAAACATCTCCCCGGCCTAGTCACTCTCGCAGTCATTTCATAAAGCGCCCCCCCCCCCATTTAGCAATCCGCGGTTGCAAAGCATCTCTTTGTTCCCTCCTAGCATTGCGTTTCCAACAGCGGGAAGCTTGCAGGCCTCATGGAAATCGACAGGGAGAGCAGGTGGGGGACAGCGGCTATTCCGTTGCCCGTTCGCATCATCCGTTGCCCCGGGGTATCTGTGCCACATAACTTCCCATTCTAATTTCTGAGGGCCCTCCAAGGAGAAGGGTATGTCTCTGCCACACCGCAGGTCAGCAAATCCGGAGCAAGCTCTGCTGCTCCTTTCCCCAGGGTGCAATTGCTCTCTTGCATTTACCCATTTCGTGTCACTCCTGTCCCACCTCCATTGCATAGTACCGGATTGTTTCAGGGTGGGTTTTGAGAAACTGGAAGGGATTCAAGGGTTGGGTCGCTCGCCAGAAATGCCCCTTATTCAAAGAGTTGGGGATGTTGACTGACATGAGAAAAAGCAGAATTGTCTTTTCTGCTGTTACAGCACCAGTGCAAACAACACGGCTATTGTACTCACCCAATACTTCAAATAACAGTGGGGCTTTATGTGTGAACTGACTCCAGTGCTTCATGCTTTCAATGACCGCACATATCATTCTGAGCGAATTGTCGTTTTCTTGCAGTTTGGCTTGATGTACCGGCCCTTTCTTTCACACGGAGACAAAGGGAGAAAGTGGCATTCATGAAAGACCTTTGTGCAGTGTGAGCACAGCACTCCAGTGTTTAAAATTATCTTTCTGAATTTTTCTTTTCTGCCCACCCTGACCTGGCTTTTTTAAAACTCAGGGTGAGAGGGACAGGGTGAGAATTTACAAGATCTTTCTGCCCTGAACTGAGCAAAGCAATTTTCTTTCTACTTACTGCAGGACAGTTTAATGGGCCAATATGGGAACGGATGCACCTGTGTGACAAATGATCCGAGCAAATCATTTACACGCAGGACAAACTTGTTTGCACCTAAAAGGGGGTGAATTCTTGGAGAAAAGCTCTGATGGAGATGTTACTGGGGTCATTTACAGTGTTCACCAGTGATATCACCAAGGTTTATAATTATCTGGTTTGGGATACGGCTTGTGATGTTCAGCCATTTTGTTGATTAAGCATGATTTCCCACCAGACGTTCCTGGGCTCAGAAACCTAACCAAGATTCTACGGATGCAGGGCCTTCTCAGCCAACCAGGCACCCAGACCCAGCTGCTTTGGTCAGCCCACACGCAAAACTCTTCCACATCCAACGCTTCATCTTAGTGAACTTCTGATTGAACGCTCTGATCGACATAACCAAGCCACATTTTTGATCGGTGAGTATCCTTCATGTTCCTCTTCCTGATTGTTCCTTGCGAGTGTTTTATGTGCTTGTCTCTTGCTTGTTCCCAAGTTATGTACATATTTTGAGGGTAGGCGTGGAATTCCCAAGCAGCTTATCATCATCACTAAAGGTTGTAAGACGTGTAAAGGGCAAGAAAAGGTGACCCCTAATTCCCGTGATGTGCGTGGCACATTATGAGGCAAGAGACTCCTCTCGGAAAGCAGACTAGTTTTTTGCACAGCTTGCCGAGTTCACTGATAATGAGCTTAGTCTGTATGGAACTGATGAGTCCCTCATTCATCCCTGGTTTCCACTAATTCATGTAAATTTGCCCTGCTTTTGTAGGGAAATGAGCAATATTTTTGAATGCTGTAGATGAGAGGTTAAAAACAGAAGTGGAAAGGGCTAATTTGTCTCAGGGAGTGGTTTTATTTCTTGGGTGGAGAGAGATGTTTATAAATTCAGCAATTGTCTCGGGAAGTTGCAAATAAACCACTTGTGGGCGTCGGTGGGAGAATAGAATCTGCAAGACCCAGCTTGAAGAAAAGATAGATATCTAAGCTACATTAATGTTTTACCTGGATAATTTTGCCAGCCTTTCTCTCATTAGCTTTTTGTTGGCAAGGAGCCTGTTTAAATGCATAGGAAGTGCCCCGATCTTGCAGGCCTCTTGGCACGGTGTCTGCGACTGCTGGCCATTGGGTTGTGGTTGAATATTTCTGCCCTGCCGCCCACGCCTTACTGCTCTGAGATGCCTTTGGGTGGCCGGCTATTTTCTGCTGTGTTGATCCGGTCTCCGTCGAGCAATGCGCACTCTTTCCAGGCTGCGAGATCTTTCTGTTTTCTCTGCCATTGCCAAAAGCCAGAAGGTCCTTTGTTTTCCAGATGTTAGCACTGGCATTTTTCTCCTCTAGTCTGCAGGGAAAATAGCTGCTGTGGCTTAGATAGATATACACACAGACCTTAGAAGAACAACATACAACACCCTGCTTTTTGAAGACATTTCCTTCCCCGCCTGATTCGTTCTCAAAAAAGCTCAGAGGAGGAGTAGGTGAGCTGGAGCCCTTTTGGATTTTTTGAACTCCCAGAAGCTCAAGCCAGCATGGCTAAAGGTCAGGGATTCTAGAGGTTTTAGTCCAAAAGATCCGAAGGGCACCAGGCTGTCTATTCCTGTGATGGACCATCTCTCTGTAGTCATAGCCCATAACCATGGGCTCCCCACCAATCCTCCAAAGGGAGGCTGAATGCTCCAAAATGAATGGTTTGATGAGTTTTTCGGCGAATTTAGCTTAATGCTCAAAGGGGACAAATACCTTTGGCCTCAACTCCCTAAGGCTTGGCTCCCCAATCTTGAGTCAGTTTTAATTTTGAGGAGGTCATGTGTGCTCTCCTGGGGTGGGGGCAGCTCGCCCATTCATGAAAGGGCTACCACGGTGGGCACAGCTGGTCACAAAAGACTGATTTTCCAGAGGTGCTAAGGTCAACAACCGCCTGAGCCCTTCACTCTGAGGAAGGAGGCGTCAAGGAAACCCCAAAATCTGAGCGGGCTTCCCTCCCATACACTTCCTTTTTGCTAGTCATTGCACCTTTTCCTGTTATTGGAACTTCTCCCTGCATTTCTTAGGCATTAATCAATCTATTTATTAAATACATCAACTGCAGATAACACCAACCTCCAGTTGTTCAAGTTCCTGCCAACACATGACATGGAAGACTCTGACGGTGTGTTTTGGTGTCTTAACAGCGAAGGTTGACTTGTTGTGCTTCAAAAACATAATTTTGGAGGTTACCACAAGCAATGGTGAAATGGGATTTTTAAAATCATTGGCATAACTACATAGTGTCAGGTTTCCACAATGCTTAAAGGAATTCAGTTTCATATAACTCTTTGAAGTATTACAGGCCAAGGAATAGAAACCAAGATCTTAAAATGTTTGGTTTTGTTCCTACATACTCAGTTTTCTGGAGACAAGTCGGTTCAGGCCTTGTAGTTTCCCATCCGAAATCTTTAAAAGCCAAAAGGATACAGAACAGTTAATTAAAATCAAGCTTGTGATCTTGGAAATGCTGTTTTGTGATCTTGCAAGAAACATGCACATGACTCGCACTGCGTTCCTCGTTATCGGCAACATTGCTGTGAATTTTTGCCCTGATCGAGGCAAGTTTCCCCAGCGTTTAAAATAACGACACCAGTGTTGCTCGACATTTTGATTTGCCTAGAGGAGTGGTGGCGAACCCATGGCAAACGTGCCACAGTGGGCGCACAGAGCTTTCTCTGTCGGCACATGAGCCAAGTCACTCCTGCATCTCCCCAGCAGCCGAGCATCGGGTAACAGCGCACATAGGGGCCATGCGCATGCTCAGAAAGGAGTAGTGGTGCCAGGCAATGTCACAAGCCATGACTCATTAGCCATGACTTGTCCAAGCTTTCTCATGGCCAGTTAGTGCACTGCCAAGGATGGATGGATGGATTTGCTTGGACTGGCTGTAAGGTTTTTTTTTCTAAACTAAAACCTCAGTTTTAAGGTTTTATTGTAGTGTTGGCACTTTGAGATAAATAAATGGGTTCTGGGTTGGAGTTTGGGCACTCGGTCTCTAAAAGGTCCTCCATCACTGGCCTGGAGTCTCTTTGGGCCATGAAAGTGATGCAGACATCTGGTCTTTCCTCCACTGCTTGCCCACTGTGAAAAGTCAAAAGGAGACAGGAAAGCATTTCCTGTGCTGCCTGGTAATAGTACAGAAGAAGTGGAGTAGGAAGAGAGGGAGAAAAAGAAAATGTTGCAGGAAAATAATGTTTCCTTCCTTCCTGCCTGCCTGCCTTGGAAAACCCTTTTATTGACGTTTCAGATTTGGGCTGTTTAGCAGGCCAGACAATCTATGTAAAAGGTTTTTTTTTTTTTAAATGCACGCCCTGGATACAAGGGATTTCATTACTGTAATAGTGCATGGTGGGTTCTCCTTGTAGATGAAAATCTTAATAATAAGTAAGTTAGATTAAACATTAAAAAGGGCACTGTGGGAGGTGCTTTCTCCTTTATTCATTCATGAATCCTCTAAATTTTAAAGGCCTACTCTCATATGCTGGATCACTGCAGTCATCTTAACATTTAAAGTGTAGCTGCAGTCAAAACAAACAAACAAACAAACAGAACTTGTGGGATCAATCATAAAAATCAACATAGCCCTGTACAGCATCTCCATTAGTGTCCTTTCAGCTCAGATATCCCTCATAAAAAGAAGAGGAAGCAGACAGGCACCCCTGTAACTTTTGAACCCCCCACTCTCATCCAGCAAACAGGAAGTCCATTCGCTCTGAACAAAGCGAAAAGCCACAACTAGAGTGAAGATCATTGTTTATAAGCAGCTGTCGGTATAATCTATTGGTTTCCTATTTCTGGGTAAGCAGCCTGCATGGTATGAGTTCAATGCACTCTTTGAAAAAGCTGGGTAAGCAATTATTTTATGGCTGCGCTGTTATACATTACCATTTCCCAAAGACAGCATTTTAAAAGCGCAAGGCAATTGAAAGGTGGAAGTTTCTTCACTCCGAGTTCTCCCCCACACTCCCCTTTAACCAGCAAGAATACGATTAATTATAATTACAATAATTAATCCTGACAGAGTAGCCTTTTCAAGCATATTAGTGGTGACAGATATATCTTTTCCAGGAGTACAGCAGAGCACTAGTAATGTCCCTTCCTGTAAAGCATGGGCCAAGAATGTCAGCTGAAAGTAAAAGGGCAGATTTCCACGAGGTTTTATTTAAATGCCAGCCTTCTATTTAATTTATAAAGACACAAAAGGCAGCTCTACTACAGACAGGCATTTCAGTTGTGCACTGAAAAAAATTAATTTGAACCACAGCAGAATATTTGCCCCTAAGCTTGTGGTCCCTGAGAGAACATCCTAAGGCCTTGGGGATTTTTCAGATTCTGGCTGCTGCAATTGGATGAGAATTTTGTTAGGTTCCTTGTTTGTAAGAACTTAGCCAAATTTGCACATTTCGTAAACAAGATGGAGAGGTTTTTTTAAAAAATGAATTTGGGAGAGGATGAAGCTGACAGCATCTGCTAGCTTCTCCAGCACTGCATCTCCTGCATTAAGAAGCACAAAATGAAGGCGTTACGGAGTTGCAGTGGAGGATGGGTTCTGTGGTTCTAATATTGCTGCTTGTTGCCCTGCTAGCATGAAGTCAATATGTTGATTCTTTGACCTTCAGATCCCCATTCACCCTTCGGTAGGGTCTCCAAAAGCATGCATTATATTTACAAAAGATCAAAATGCAACCTTCACTTCCGAGTCCCAACAAAGGAACGTGAACAGATTTAGTTTTGTGTTTACCAGCAGCAAATGCCGCCTTCTCTGCACCTGCAAGCATGGTAGAAAAATCCAGTTTAGAAGCCAAATTGTCAGTAGCTGGCTCATTTTCAAGCGGGTTTGATGTGAGGGGTTGCCTGTTTCTTTTCCTCTGATGGAACAGTGGAACAGGGAGGCAGCCTATAATGCAAAGAGGCGAGATGAGATATTATTAGTAAACTGTGAGAATCATCAGTTGCATTACTGAAGCACACGGCCCAGCAATTTGCAATTGATGTGGCGATCCCAAAGAGAAACCTGCATGGTCCCTCATTCACACAAGGCATGGGCAGAAAGGAGGGGTGCTGCTTCCATTGGAGTGAATGGAGCTGTCTGCATAGATAGGAACTCCACACGTGGGTTGGGATGCACACCGGGCAAAAGCAAAAAGCTGTGCAGTGTTTTATAAATACGTGCTGCTGTCAGAATTAATCAGTTTGCTCATATTTATTTGAGTGAGGTGCTCTTTCCTGTTTGAGGGTGGCTACAGATCCCAAAAGGATCTTCTGCCTTTTTGAATGGCATTTCTTCTTACTTACTTACTTACTTATTTATAAAATTTGTATGCCGTCCATTACTTGCGTCTCTGAACGGCTTACAACATAAATCAAAATAACATTAATAAATTTGTCTCCTTGCACTAATATTATTATCATTTTTAGACATGTGATAACAGCATCCATACCCACACAGAATATACTTTTCCCCCTGGCCCAGGTATTCCAGCATGATGAATTGTAAATTTAACTGCTGCCTGGTTTTATTGTTTGGATGCTTCCATTTCTCCAGGTGCTATGGAGCCATAAGATTTTTTTTTAAATTGCACCCTCTAATTCTCTGGATTGTGTGCCTAGGAAAGTTGGATTTAGGGCTCTCCGTCTTTGATTTATAGGGTAGCATAAGAAAAAAAGTAAAATCCCTATTCTGGTTTGCAGGTAGACGCAAGAAAAAAAGTAAAATGTGAAGGAAAAAATATAATCTAACTGAATGGCCCTGTACAGGCCTAACCATGACATTCAACAGTAATTCTTGGGTTCATTAACCCACAGGCTGTAGGAATGCTTGCCACGATTATGCTCTTAATTAATGAACCGGCAAATTGCTGCCAAACGCCACTGCTTTGCCCAAATGAAGTCAATCACTTCAGTTCACTCATATGTGGAAAAAAATGAAATAATTCCATGGGTTGGGGGCAATAATTTCCTCAAGGTGGGTGTCTTAGGAGACATTTTATACTGCAGGACAAAGCTTCCCTTTTCCCAACCTCATGAGCGGTTTGTTAGCCATTTTACCAATTTTCCTACGTAGGAAGTTTTGATACCTGCTGTGCTACGGGCTGAACTGTCAGTAAAATTCCTCTTCATGTTTCTTCAAACATATCTGCAGACAAAGATGGACAATTTACTGCATTTTTTTATTTTTAAATCTGTAACCAATTAGTCCATTTATTTATCTATCTATCTATCTATCTATCTATCTATCTATCTATCTATCTAT